TAAATGTTGATGAGGATGTGGAGAAACTGGAATGCCTGGGCACTCTTGGTGGGAACGTAAACTGGTGCAGCCCTGTAGAAAAAAGTTTGGTAGTCCCTCAAAAAGTTAAACACAGAATTACCACATAAACTAGCCATTCCACTCCTAGGTATATACCCGAGAGAACTGAAAACAGAAGCTAAGAACCCAAGGGCCCATCAACAGATGGATGGATAAGCAAAATGTGCTATATCCACACAATGACTTATTAGTTGCCAATAAGAAGGAAGGAAGCGCCGATTCATGCTACAATGTGGGGGAACCTTGATAACATTACACTAAGTGAAAAAAGCCAGACACGAAGGCCACATATTGTCTGATTCCATTCACACGAAATACCCAGAATAGGCAAATCCATAGAGACAGAGAGCAGACTAGTGCTTGCCAGGTGCTGGGGTTGGAAGACTGCTTTTTTTTTTTTTTTAAAGATTTTATTTATTTATTTGACAGAGAGAGATCACAAGTAGACAGGCCGGCAGAGAGAGAGGAGGAAGCAGGCTCCCCGCCGAGCAGAGAGCCCGATGTAGGGCTCGATCCCAGGACCTTGGGATCATGACCTGAGCCGAAGGCAGAGGCTTTAACCCACTGAGCCACCCAGGTGCCCCGGAAGACTGCTTTTTTAATAGAGAATTCCTTTCGGGTTGATGGAAAAGATCTGAAACTAGGTGGTGGTGATGGGTACGCAACACTGTGAATGTCCCTAATGCTACTGAATTAGACACTCTGAGATAGTTAAAATGGTCAGTTTTATGTCATGTGTATTTAACCACCATAAAGAAATGAAATCTGTCGTTCTGTCATGAGTTAGAGGTCTTGCAAGTTCCCACAGCATTTCTTTCCTCCTTCATCTAGCAAACACCAGGCAGTTTAGCTGGTGGTTTTCTTAATCTTTGCTCCCCAAGGAGAAGAGCCAGCCTGTTGCAGGTGCCCCTGTCCCCAGACACCCTGGCCAGCTATAGTCTAATGGCAGCTTGGGGGCGGGGACGGTGCGCAGCAGCACCGGGGGCAGCGCCGGGGGAGTGGGCGAACACTGAGGTCAGAGAACTTGAGTCACCAGAGCGGGATCTCCAACGTCAGCCTCCAGATCTTTATTTGGGGGTGGAGCGCCCTCTGGTGGACAACCGGAATGCAACCAAATTCTAAGATGTTTGCGCTCCTAGGCCAGTGCGCTTGATGGCTGTGCTTGTCTGATGGCTCCCAAGCCCGGGAATTTATTTCTCTTCCAGCATGAGAGCCTCCCTGAGAATTCACCTGGACACCCATTGTTGATGAAGACATATAAACCATATAAACACAGGCACGAAACACTTCTTCCCTTACTGACTCACTAACATTATCCGCTCAACTGAAATGATTCAACCAGCAAGGTCTGGCCTAGCCGGATGAGCTGCCCCCACTCGCACCCCCCAGTGACTTCGTCGTCCACAGGATAAGGTCGTGAAACAGCAACTTCAGGTTGAGGGCTCAGAGGACCCAGCGCGGGGCACCCAGTGCTGGTGAAGGAGACCAGGGAGGCCAGCAAGGCGGGTGTGGAGTTTGGCTGAGTGAGCTCAGTCTGAAGGCAGGGAGAGCACTCTGGGCAGAAGGGACAGGGCAAAGCATGACTAGGCCTCTGCTGCCTGTACTCTCTCTTTCCCCACTGTCATGGGGAGGCCAACTCACCATTCTTTACTATGTGCCCTTCCCCGGGGGAGCCCATCTCCCTCATCTATTGTTCTTCCCAGCCACCTCACATCCGTGGCCCTGCGTGGGACTCTTGGATTCTGTGGAATGCGTTCCGATTTCCGTCCTGTATAGGGGATACCTTCCAAGAGGGCTTACCTTCCAAGGCATCATCCTTAAGCAAAACCCCTGCCCTTGGCTTTGGGACCCAATGGCAACTGCCCTTCCCCGCACCCCACCCCCACCCCAGTCTTCCACAGAGACTCTACTTAAGAGTATACAATATGCGCCTCTAAGATTTCCCTGTGGGGTGGGGAGCGGCGAAGAGAAGATGATGGGTCGAGAGGGATCTACTTCTTGGGAAGTTTGCAATACGCTGGCCTAAGCGTTCTAAGGGTCCTTCGGACCCGCCCTGCCTGGCTTCTAAGGTCAGGTCCACCCCACCCCCGCCGGATCTCCAGGAGAGCTGCCACCAAGAGCTCAGACTCAGCTGCCCCAGGACTCTGCTCCAGGGATACCCCGGGGATCAGGGCAGGGAGGCGCCGCCCACGGCCGGTGGCGGTTCTGGGGAGAGCGGGATGGGCGTCTCGAGCCCTGCAGGGAGAGAACCGGCCACCGGGGACAGCAGGGGCCCGAGGCTGGCGGCCACTGGCTGTTAATGGCTTCTCATGCCCAAGTGCAGGTCACAGGGCCCTGGACGCGCGCGGCCCGACCCCCTGTCACACAGAGGCCAAAATAGTGCCAGGGCGGGAAGGCGCCCCCGTGCGGGCGGGGGAGTGAGGCGGCCGGCTCCCTACCCACGCGCGGTGGCCCGGGGCGGCTGGGATCCGGAGCCTCCAGTCCCTACCCTGGGAACACGTGGGCCAAGGGCTCGCAGGCCAAAGGGGGGTGGCCGACACGCGGAACGGGTGGCCCAACTGCCCCTTACCGTAGCTGGCTGGGCAAAGCCGGCGGAGCAGCGCGGCGGCGTTTCCAGAGGCTGGGCTTCGGCTGAGCGCGGGTGGCATTTCGGTGGCCGGCAAGGGTGGGGGGTCACACTGCAGGATCACCAGAGCCACCCAGGGCTGGCAAGCCGTGGCAGGGAGAGCTGGAGCGGAAGAGAGGCTCGGGCCGCTGGCAGTCCGAGGACGGGCGGAGGAGCCAGGGCCCCGCAGAGTGGGCTCAAACCCAGGGCTAGAGCCCCGGGAGCCCTGGCACGACTTGGATTTGCTGGGGACCACGTGGTCTTGTGCAGCGCCAGGGCCTGAGAGCTGGGGGAAGGGACTGCCGGGAGCGCCCCCCCCCCCCCCCCCCCCCCCCCCCCCCCCCCCCGGTAGACCGTAGAAGGGGACTATGGACTACAGACTACCGAGGTTGGCCTCATCTTCCGTTGCCCAGCATTGGTCAGACTTGGTCTGTGGAAGGGGAAGGGTATCCTCAGTTCCCTAGCAAGAGACAGGATGGCACATAGTGGGGTTGTGGTTGGGGATAGTGGGGACCTCAGAGGAAGAGGTCCAGAAGCCTTGTCTCACAACTCCCAGCCCCAGTGCCAGGAGAGGGATACCAGCCCGGGAGCAGCTGTGCCGGGCCTCTTGTTCCCCCAGATGACACTGAAGACTTGTCCTGCTTTGGCCTTTCTCCCCAGGTTGTCCCCTGACCTGCTGGGCGACTGTAGACAGCCATTTTCCTCTGACCTGGACGTGGCAATTTGCCCTCCTGACCTGGACAGGGCAGGACCAGATGTCCTCTGAGGGCCCTTCCAGTGTGACAGGCCAGGCTGAAAGGGTGTGCTATAGGGATGGAACACACTGACTGGGACCAAGGGAGAAAGGCTTTATTTAATCCTGGCCTTTCCGGGGCCACAGCTCCTGTTCAGAAAAAGAGAAGAGCTTTTGTGAGGGGGCTGAGGTCTCCAGTGCCATGGCTCCTTTGTTCCTGATAAGGCTTCCACTGGACCCAGGCAGCTCTGGGCTGCAGTAAAGAACACTGAGGATACAAGATGGCGGGACTACTGGGCGATGGAGCCATGTGACTTCATGAGGTTCTGCAGGTATAACTTTCTTCCTTCTCTTGTCCTTAGGCTCTGAGCAGAGGACCTGTCCTGGACAGTAACAAACCTACAGAGAGGAAGAAAACCCTCAAGGACCAGCTGGGTGGGAAGGGCCTTGAATTCTGGGACCAGCCCTTACCCACTGACAAGAGCCTGAGACCCAGAGAGAGACCATGGTCACATAGGACACTGGTAGCCGATTCCAGACAGTAGGTACTATCCTTAGTGGTTCTTGACCCTCCTAGAATCCCCACCTTGCTCTTGCCATGGCAGAGAAACTGCCAGACCCTGCTGGGAGCCAGGACCAGGCCTAGTTGAGTGTAAACCCAACTAGTGGCTGCTCATGGACCAGGATGGTTTGGGGAGTGCTGTGGCATTGTGGCCTGGGTAAAGGGACCACATCAGCAGCTGATTTGCTGTGTGACCAGAAGTAGTGCCATCCATCTTTGGGCCTGTTTCTAAGTAAATGAAGGACTTGGACCCATGGCCTGGGGCACTTTTGGGTCTTAGTATGTCATCTGGAACTGCCAGAGGAGCAGGGTCAGACAGTCAGTGGGAAAAAAGGCCATGCTCCCTCCTTCTTATGTTCTGGGGGCTCCAGGGTCTGGCCTCCACCCTTGCTCAGCTTCTAGGAGCCTGGGGGCAGAGTGATGGGAGTCACACACAATGGCATCCCCCCGACACTCTGCTGGGGTCCTATATCACATCATTTGCTTTCTAACAGGAATGGTTCCTTTGAAATATTCAAGATAGCATCCCTAGCCAACAGTGGTTGCTTGTGCTACAGAACACGCAAGGGCAGGTGTCAGTGGCCTCTGGGGGTGCCGTCTCTGCATACATAGGGGACATTGTGGCTATATGTGTGTCTGTTGGAGGGTCTGTGGAAGAGAGGTCGGAGGGCTCCCTGTGTATGACTGTGTGCATGTTTCATTTTCAATCTTTAGAGGACTGAGACTGAACATCTCTTTATTGTTATTTTAATATTTTAAAAAAACTGCCTGCTGATGTCATTTTTCTGAGTTTTATTAGATTACTTTTCTCTTGATTATAAAATCTACCTTTACATATTAAAGACTTATACATTGCACAAAGGTATCTCTACTTTTTGTGCTTTATCTTTAAACTTTATTTGGAGTTATCTAGAAAATATTTAAATTTGAAAAACCAATGTACTGATATTTTCCCTTATGGTTGGTTTCTAGCTTTCATATGATGCTTAGGAAAGGTCTTCTCCCTTCCATGAACATAAAGAATTTACTCATCTTTTCTTTCTAAGGAAATCTTTATTGTTTATCCTCTTTACAAAAGGGATACATGCTTGGTGTCCAAAATGAAAGGGAAGTAAATTTAGGTAGAGGGAGGATCTTCATGAGTCTTCCTATCCAAGAACAAAGTTTCCCTCTCTCCCCATTTATTTTTCCTTTTGTGGCCCTCAGTGGAGATTTCTTTCTCCATATAAATCCTGTATAACACTTAAGTTTATTCCTAGGAGAGCCACTTTTCTTGATGATGTTGGGAATGGGATCTTTTCATATTTTCTAATTGGTTGTCGGTGTAAGACAAGCTATATATTTTTGGTTGTTACTTTTTAACCAGTCATCATTCCTGATTTTAAAAGTAAGAGGGGAAAGATGTGTTTCCATGGGAAGATGCCATATTCATTTCCCTCAAGGTTTTCCACCACAGTGATTCTGATACTTGATCCATTTCATTAACTTTGAGAGTTTTCTACATCCTTCTCATTAGGATTTTCCTTCACTATGGACACTCCGATGCTGAGCAAGTTGGAAGCTAAACCTGAAGGCTTTCCCACACACATTACACACGTAGGGTTTCTTCCAAGTATGGACAGTCTGATGTATAATACAGTCAGAACTATAGCTGAACCCTTTGCCACACTCCACACATCTGAATGGTTTCTCCCCAGTGTGGCTTCTCTGATGCCGAATTAAATGGGCATTAACGTGGAAGGCCTTTCCACACTCCTTACACTGAAAGGGTTTCTCTCCAGTATGGATCCTCTGATGTACAATATAGTCAGAACTACAGCTAAATGCTTTTTCACATTCCATACATTTGAAAGGCTTCTCCCCAGTGTGTATTCTCTGATGCCTCGTTAGTTTGGCATTGATACTGAAGGCTTTCCCACACTCCTTACACTGATAAGGCTTTTCTCCAGTATGGATTCGGTGATGATCGAGCAGGTTTCTTTTAGAAGTAAAGCATTTCCCACACTCGTTACACTCAAAGGGTTTCTCCCCCGTATGAATCCTCTGATGCTGCATTAGTTTTGCATTAACGCTGAAGGCTTTTCCACACTCACTGCACTCATAGGGCTTTTCCCCGGTGTGGATTCTCAGATGCTGCCGCAGCTGGGAGTTACACCTGAAGGCTTTCCCACATTCGTTACACCCATAGGGTTTCTCACCTGTGTGAATTCTCTGGTGCTGGATTAACTTCCCTTTGACACTAAAGGCTTTTCCACATTCAGTACACTCATAGGGCTTCTCGCCTGTGTGGATTCTTTGATGCTGAATGAGTTTTGCATTATTACTGAAGGCTTTTGCACACTCCTTACACTGATAGGGCTTCTCCCCAGTGTGGACGCTCTGATGCTGCCGCAGCTGGGAGCTGCACCTGAAGCCTTTCCCACACTCATTACACTCGTAAGGTTTCTCTCCAGTGTGGATCCTCTGATGTTGAATTAATTTTGCATTCACATTGAAAGCTTTCCCACAGTCTTTGCACTCATAGGGCTTCTCTCCAGTGTGGACCCTCTGGTGTGTGATATATGCAGAGCTACAGGTGAAGCCACTTCCACATTCCTTGCACTGATAGGGCTTCTCTCCTGTATGGATTCTCTGATGCCGACTTAGACTCCCATTCACGCTGAAGGCTTTCCCACATACCTTGCACTGATAGGGCTTCTCCCCACTGTGGATTGTCTGATGTGTGATATAATGGGAACTGTAACTGAAGCTTTTCCCACACTCCACACATTTGAAGGGTTTCTCCCCACTATGAAGTCTCTGATGCCAAATTAATTTTGCATTAATGCTAAAGGCTTTGCCACACTCTTTACACTGATAGGGCTTCTCCCCAGTGTGGCCATCTTGATGCTCAGAGTTACACCTGAAGGCTTCCACTAATTCTTCGCATTTAAAAGGTCTTTCCCCAGAATTAATTATTTCATGCTGAATAAGTTTTGTGTCAAAGCTGGAGGCTCTCTCCAATCCTATACATTCAGGAGGCTGCTCTCCAGGGCTGACGGCGTGACACTGACCCAAGTTTGGACTCTGACTAAACAAACCCTCCTCCACAGGGCTTGTGTCGTCTTTCACTGTTCCATCAATGACGCTATTTTCTTTCTTCATGCTTCCTACCAAATGGACTTCCTGCTGTTTCTCTAGAATACAGGCTTCTGAAAAGTCTGTCCCCTGGGAAAAGTGCCTCTGAAGTTCAAGTGATGTATTGTGTTTTTCTTCATACACTTCCTTTGTCAAATTATTGTCAGTCTGGATATCAATTTCTACTATTTAAAAAAACCCAGAAAACATAAAATATCATGTAAGAACCATGTTAGAGAAAAGAACTATGGTAAAAGGAATAGAGAATCTTAGTTAATCAAGGGTCTCTTGAAAACCACCAAACTAGGTCAAAGAATCTAAGGTTCATCCATAAGGTAGAGTAATATGTAACTGGTTAAAAAAAAAAAAAAAGGGAAGGAAGGAAGAAACAAATCCATATGTGCTGATGTGAAAAGATGTCCAAGATACACTATTAAATGGAAAAACAAACTGACAAATGGATGTAAGGCAGATTCCATTTGTATGAAGGAAAAATAAAATGGGCCAATATATACTTATATATTTGTATGGGCATGCCTAGAAAACTCCTGGAAGAATACACAAGAAACTGAGCAAATTAGTACAGGAAGTCTGGGAGACTTTGTTCTCCAGTGTGCTTTCCACACTTCCTGCACAGTTTTGAGCATGAACAATTTCAAAAGATTACCAACCTCTACGCAAATAACCAGTAACATAAAGGTTAAGTGGGACAGTAATGGAATAAAATCCTAGGTTTTATCCACCGGATGAGCATTCTTTCCTTGAGTCACACTTTACTATACTCTGCAGTTTTTTCTCTGCTATCCCCGTGTCCTTAAGTCCCTTGTTGATAAAAATGGAAACTGCTTAAGAAGGAAAAGGCACAGGATCCAACAACATGTAGCAACACTGAGGACGGCAAGAGTTTGCAGCACTAGGAGGTGAAAGGGAAAAAACTGTGTTTCTCTTTTTAGAACTTAAACTCATGGCTTTTTAAATAGCATTCCATCCTGTAGAAGTATCTTAATTTAAACAGTTCTCTTTATACTGAATGTCTCTATGCTGAATGTCTGTTGGAAATGTTATTTCCAACATTTTATTATATAGAATTATGATGAACTTTTGTTAATGTACATCTTTGTCTTTATCTCTGATTACTTTATTAGGATAGTCTAGGAGAGAATATCCAGACTATCAAGGACAGACTTTAAAAGGCTCTTGATATGTACTGCTAAAGTACTTTCTAGAAAGACTACAGATTCACATTCACCTCCAAAAATCTATTCCAGTTTGGTGTATTCTCTCCATCAATGTAACTGTTCTCTGTATGAACTAGGGAAACTAAAGGAATTCCATGAAAAACAGCTGTTTGCTTATTTTCCTGCTTCTGTTCTTGCTAGGACCTGTACCCCTGCCTTGTACATGCCTTACAGTACAAATGATGTATGTCCTTCTTACAAGGGTCAAGGAGTCAATGATTTTTTGGAGTCTTCCAGCACAGGTGATAACATCTAATGACAAGCAGGGTCGTCATGTACGTTTTCTAGACCACTGACTCTAGAACTCTTGATGCCAAAAATCACCTAGCTCCAGGTAGTAAGTGCTTTATGGAGGACACCTAAGCACTTGTCTTTGCTCTGACAGCTCCTGAGTGTCTGAAGAGGACATGTATACTGGACCCACCCCAATCCTCAGTAAAAACCCTAGACCCCAAGCAAAGAAGACACTCACTCTCTTTTCCTTTCTGAGTCTCCCAAACACTCCATCTGCTATATTCTATCACTTATGCTATTCAATAAACTCTGCTCTCACTTCCTCCTGGCTTGCACTTGATTTCTGTCCTGCTCAAAGCCCAGGACCCTCTTGGCTGGTCCTACAGGAGCCTCCCCACCCCCGGGTCCTTGGACGCAGCCTACCTATGTCAAGTGTGTTAGGTGGAACATCTCTATTTTAATTTGTATTTCATTAGTTTCTAAGAGGGTGAAGATTTTTCACATTTATTAAAATTTGTACTTCTTATGTGGATCACACTTATATTCTTTGCCAATTCTTCTATACTAGTGACCTTCTATTTACCAAATCCTATGGTGTGGCAGATGCTATCAGTTGCTTAACCAATTCCATTCTCCCTTTCTTCCTTACTAATATGTTTTCCAATTTTTTTGAGGTAGCAATAAAAACTACAGCTAAAAACTGTATTTTCCACACTCTTGCAGTAGGGGGCCATAAGACAGTTCCAGCAAACGAGATTTAAACAGAAGTCACCGGATAGGACTTCTGAAAGTTTTTGTTTTTTGTTTTCTGAAAGTTTTTTTTTAGAAGAGAGTCCACTCTGCTGACATGGGCCTTGTGCCCTGTACCTCCCTTCCCCTTCTGTCTGCCTAAAAGCCATTTGATTCCTTGCTCCAATTAACCTTCACACACTAATTAATGTTTCCATTCTCAGCATAGATCATGATGGTTATTTGAAAACTTCAGATTTTGGGATTTTCTGTTAACTACAGAATGAAATCCAGACTCCTTTGAGGAGCTCCACAACATCATTTCTTTTCCCTTCTAGATGCGATCTGCTTTAAACTCATCATTTTGCAAAACATGTCTTCCTTGGTCAGGGATCATCTGGCTGAATGGTCACAAGGAACAAAAATCCACTGGAACTATCTTTTTATTTTATTTATTTTATTTTTTGAAAAAGATTTTATTTATTTGACAGAGAGAGAGAGAACACAAGCATGGGGAGAAGCAGGTTCCCTGCTGAGATCATGACCTGAGCCGAAGGCAGCCACTTAACCAACTGAACCACCCAGGTGCCCTGAAACTGTCTTTTTAAAAAGAAGGATTCACTAAAAGGATACAAGTGGGAAATGGGAAATCATTTCGCAACTACTCTGCTTAAGCCAACGAGTAGCATGCTACTTCAACTATGGTCTAGGAACCAGAAACATTGGCAGAATCTGAGAATTAACAGAAATGCAGAATCTTGGCCCTACGCCAGACTTACTAAATGACAATATGCATATTTGCAAGACACCCAAGGGATTCATTTGCATATCATTTGAGAAGCACTGAATTGAGAACACTTTCTCCTTTCCACCTTATTTCCCACAGCTTACTATACAGCTGTCTCCTCCAAAAAACCAAAAAACAACAAAAAACTAATAAAAACTAATACTTCATTGAGCACACACTACAAGTTATGCACTTAATATGTGTTATCTTATGTAATCCTCAACCCATAAGACCAGAACTATTTTCTCATTTTATTACCCTACTTTCAGGGAAAAAAACACTGAACCTTAGAGGACTCAAATAATGGATCTGCTTAAAATCACAAGTAGGAAGTCATATAACTAGGAAGAGCAGTTAGGATGGTACCTCAGAGAAGTCTACTCCAAAGACTGTACTTTTAACCACCAGGCTATTCTGTCTTTCTGTATAAAAAGACTGTTAATTCTCCACCCATCACATTAAGTGTACAATGCTTAGAAGTAGCAAGGACCTAAACACAGCATCCATTAATTTCATCTGAGAAAGGTAGAATTCCAAAATTAGGACTGGAAAGAATCAGAACGAGACATCTGAAAAAAGATATGCTCTTGGAATCAGAAAGAAACAACAAACTAGAAAAAGAGGTCCAACTGTACCTATCTCTATAAATCATCATTTATTTAAATTTTACTCTGTACAGCTGGCTCATAAATGTGGCATGCTTATATGCTGCTTAAGCTGACCTCCTTCTTGAAGAGTTAAACTTTCCCCCATATTAGGCAACCTGTATGTCCCTTACCAGTCCAGAGGCCCTGGGGGCCTATTTCTGTTCCAGCCACCAGTGGAGATGGGCGCCCCAGCTCACCTGCTCCCTCCAGTTGTGAGATCACAGCAGGTTTGAGAAGCGAAAATCCTGTTTAGGGGGAAAGAAATGGGAGACACAGGTGAATAATGTCCCACAGATGAGTTCTTAAGCATCTCCTCAGACTGTCTTGGCAATGGGATGGCAAAATAAAGAGTGCTAGGGGATCCCATGCCTAAAAACTATGGGAAAGCGGGGTTTCGGGGGGACAACTGGAAAGACGGGAGGCTTGGAAGGTATATGTGTGTGGGGGAGTGCCTGAGAAGGTGTGGGAGGAGTTGAGAATGGCCCAGACTTGGGCCCAGAAGGCCTCAAGATACACAGGTTGGGTGAGGGTGAACCCAAAGATAATGCTGTGTGAAACAGTCAGTTTCTTTTTCCACACTGTATCCAAACCACAACTTCTCGAGGGTGGATAGAGAGGGCACACCAGTCCTGGCAAAGTCCTGTATGGGCCCAAAAAAGGCTTGAGGTTCACCCTTCCCAGCAGCCCCTGACTCAAGGGGGATTAGGAATCTCAGCCCCTGGGGTTCCCACTCAGTAAAGGATTACCAAAGACCCCACCTGCAACCTGTTAGGGGGCAATAAGCCAGGAAACCCCAACTGGCAGAGTCCGGGTCCCAGGGGGAGAGAGGCCTTACCCAGGGAGGCCACATTCCCATAATTCTCCAGCATCACATCCCTGTACAGGGCCCTCTGTGCAGGGGACAGGCCATCCCATTCCGTCTGGGTGAAGTACACAGCCACATCCTCGAAGGTCACCGACTTCTGAAACAACAGGTTCCTGCTGCCCTAGGGCCAATTCCATGGCTCAGGCCCTAAGTGAGGGGCAGAGGGCAGTATAAGGGCTTGGGGAGGGAGCTTGTGAAGAGCACAGAATTAATGAAAAGGGGACAGGTCTGAGAAATAGCACCTGGAAAATACATAATGGAGAATATCTGACTTCTCTCATGGCAGGGAACCTCATGCCATATTTTACATTTATAAACGATATCCTAAGTTGAGATGACAGGAAGAAAATTCCCATAATCGAGTTCCCCAAAGCAACTCCACTGTTTCCATTAGGCCCCGTCCTCAGAGGCAGATGCAGCTCAGGACCAACCCACCAGCATTCCCATTCGAAATCTCGGCTTCTCCATCCTGCTCCCCTCCCCTTATAACCTCCATCCACCCTCGAAGAAGAGCTATGGCCTCCATCTGGCCCAGCGCCCGGCTGTCTCTGCTGCTGCTACAAAAGGCAGTGCAGCTGCCTGAGCACCACCAGCAGCTCAGCGCTGTCCTGACTGGCTAAGGTGGGGGCCGCGGCCCATTCCGCTCCCAGAGGCATCTTGCTGAAAATCCAACATTTTCTGTTACCCTCTCCCATTCAAGCCTCTCATCCTTTTCAACTTTACCCAAGAATTCACTGTTTCTCCGAGAAGGTTCGGGAAACGGGAGATCAGCCTTCCGGTGGCCACCCGTCCGGCTGCTCGTCTCTGCATCACTCCATGTGCTCAGCACAGGCTCTGCCATCAGGGCTGATGCCTCCCTTTTGGGGAGCTGTAGCCTCTGGTCGCTTTCTCTCTGCCCCCTTCCCAACAACCTTGGAGACACACTGGCAGGGATATGCCCTCAATTCCTCTCTTCCAGGATCTGTCTTGCTTCCTTCTACTGACCTCAGCCATCAGCAATTCTAGTCCAGCCTCTGCGTGAGTCTGCAAGTCACTCATCTGTGACCTTGGATGGGTCATGGAACTTCTCTGAACAATATGAAATGCCTTCACTGCTGCCACCACCACCCTTCACCCTAGGAAGTTGGCGCCTCTTCCTGAACCCCAACATCCCCCACCATGTGTGCAGGAAACCTCAGCCAGAACCCTGGGGACTGTTCCTGACTCCTCCCCACCCCCACCTATCCCCCCCACCCAGTCCTTTGACTCTCAAAGTCCTAAAGCTTTTCATGTTAAGCATTACTTGAACTGGATTCTTTTTCTTTAACAACTACTTTCCTTGATGAAGCCCACATCAACCTGGACCAATGGAATTCTTACTGAAGTGGTCAGCTTTTTTTCGAATCACCCCTAAAAATTATTCCCTACAAAGCCATTGCAACTCTGACCATGTTAACTTCACGGGTCGCACACGTATCATAAGGATGAGCAGTGAAGAATCAAATACAGTCGGGGGGGGCGGTGCCTGGTGGCTCAGTTGGTTAAGCAACTGCCCTCGGCTCAGGTCATGATCCTGGAGTCCCGGGATCAAGTCCCGCACTGGGCTCCCTGCTCTGTGGGGAGTCTGCTTCTCCCTCTGGCCCTCCCCTTCTCGTGCTTTCTCTCTCATTCTCTCTCAAATAAATACATAAGAATCTTAAAAAAAAAATCAAACACTGGCTGTATGACCTCGGGCAAGGCACTCTACTCCCCGTTGCCCTCGTGTCTTCTGTGGCAGAAAGAGCACGACCCAGCCCCTAGCACAAGGGGCGGTGTCAGGACTAAGCGATCCACCCAAGTGCTGAGTGTGGTGCCCAGAGCAGGCCTCAATGTTACTGGAGTTCCTGTGACTACCATTATTTGCAACCTGTAGTCCATGGAGGCCCATGGATGTGCTTCAGGGCATCCATGAAGTCCCTGAAACTGTATGGAGAATGTGGTTTGCATTTCTCTGAGCCGGGGGAGGGTCCAGAGCTCTTATCAGAGACCTAAGTTGGAGCTCCTGCACCCAAGCCCTGAAGGCCTCTCTGGGACACAGTGAGACATGCTGTCCCACAGGACTTTCTTTCCCCCTCTTTGGACCCCACTCTTCTCGTCTCCCTGCCCCCACCAAGCCAGCCTTCGTGATGACCCAGTCCCATCACTCCTCTTCACCTACGGCCCGGCCCCGGGCAGCCTCATCCTCTGCTACCCCCTCCATTCACACCCACAAATGGAGCACCCTCCACAGGCGGCTCCCATATTTCCTTGTCACCAGAGGAGCAAAGCACCTCGGTGTGCAGAACACTTCACTCCTGCCTTCGGGGATGCTCTCCTGCTGCTTCTGTCCCTTCACATCACCACTCTTCTCACAAGTGCCAGGCGGAAGCGAGGAGGGCCCCTCCAGCTTCCACCACAAAGCTCACCAGCTTCCCTTCTCGGTTTTCTTCAGTTTGAAACTGTTCGGAGGAAGAGCTGAAGGAGCCACAGCTCACCTGGGGCCAGGCGGTCAAGGGCATGGCTGCCATCACGCGCTTTCCCTCTCAGAGCAGGGCTGGAGCTGAGGAAAAAGAGAGAGAGAGTGTGAGGTGAACCCCGTCCCAGAAGAAACCACACAGCCCCTCACAGGGGCTGCCCTGGACAGGCAGCCACTGTCCAGACAGGAGTGCAGCAGGCGCTGCCACATGAAGAAGGGGGGCCCCTCCCAGCCATGACACTGATGCTGTCAGGAACCCCAGGATTTCACAATTCTGACACATATCACACACACAAGGGCAGACAAAAAGTGTATTCAGAGCCTAAAGGATAATAAAACAAAGACCTACATAGCAACAATTCAGCTTAATAGAACATTACCAAGATCTTGGACTTACTTGTTTCTCTCTAAACAAGCAACACCCTCGATTACACTGCAAGAAACGCCACGCTGCGAGGGCTGCGGCCCCCGCACAGAGACCTGGGTCAGGCCCCTGGGAGCTGAAGGAGACAGCTGCCCACTCCCCCCACCCCCCAAAATCCGCCTGCTCCCTCACACAGCTGAGTGTCCTCAAGAGCCCCACTATCTCTGTAGAGACCTTGGGAAGCCAGCCTCCCGCATGGCCCAGGCTTACCTTTAAGGTCCCAGGCTGCCTCCTCATGTTCTCCAGCCTCTGAGAGTGAAGAAGCCAGAGCCTCAGCTCCCTGAGAGAGGGGGTCACTGTATCATCTAGGGTCCCAGGACCCAGCACCCCTTGTTCACTGTATTCAAAACATATGGACTGCTTACTTTCAGGTTTTTACTGCCGCCAAAGTTAGTCTTGAAAATATGTGTTTTCCTAAAATACCATTCATGTCTTCCAGGATTTCAACTTGAGTGCAGAGTTGTGGAAACCACTGGTTCATGATTCTTCCCATTTCTTCCATATCTGGAGCTACTTTGCTTTTCCCACTTTTGAATACATGGATACATGTGTTTTCTAGACCCCTTCCCCATTGTTAATGTTACGGATGGAAGGGGTCCCCTCTAAGATTCATACGTTGAAGTCCTATCCCCCAATGTGACTATATTTGGATATAGAACCTGTGAGGAGGTAATAAGGTTAAACAAAGCCATAAATCTGAGCCCTACTCTGATAGGGCTGGTGCCCTTATAAAAAGGAGGAAGGACACCAGAGGTCTTTTTCTACACATGCAGACCCAGTGAGAAGACAGCCACCTACAACCCAAGGAGAGCCCTCACCAAGAGCCAAATTGTCTGGCACCTTAAACTTGGGCTTTCAGCCTCTAGAACTGTGAAAAATAAATTTCTGTTGTTTGAACCATGCACTCTATGTTATTCTGTATGGTGGCCTGAGCAGACTAATAAAGTTAACTTGGACAATGGTTTGTGTATCTGAATGCTCTTTTATTTTTAAAGAACAATTTTTTTTTTAAGATTTTATTTATTTGACAGAGAGATCACAAGCAGGCAGAGAGGCAGGCAGAGAGAGAGGAGGAAGCAGGCTCCCCGCTGAGCAGAGAGCCCGATGCGGGGCTCGATCCCAGAACTCTGAGATCATGACCTGAGCCGAAGGCAGCGGCTTAACCCACTGAGCCACCCAGGCGCCCCAAGAACAATTTTTTCTATTTATTTAGAACACCACTCTTTTCTATTTCCTTTTAGCTCATTAAGTTCTGCTTTCTTTGTTTCCTTAGTACCTCTGTGAGAGGTACACCTTCTGTTCCCCTCTAAATCCTCTTGTCTCAGTCCAGTGCCAGAGACTTTGACCGGCATTGTGCGGGTATAACCCACCAATGCATCCTCAAGGATCTATACCACATATGGCTGATTCCTGCCCTGGGGCTTCTCTGGTGTCCTGTGGGGGGCATCTGCAGATACCCACGGACACTTGCTAGGTCCTGAAAGGCAGAAGTTAATGCCTATGAGAATACCCATGACCAAGAGGGGACAGAGGTCAGTGGATAAATACTTTCCCCTTCAGTCTCCTACGTGAGATTCCAAGGCTCCTCAATGATCCTACAAAACTGAGCACCAGTAGCCTGTCTACAGGCCAGCCTGACAACGTGCCCTTTTATTGGCTCTCCCTCTTGTTTTGCTCCCCTTGTCTTCCACTCTGCCCTTGGGAAAATGTTCCCGAGTAAACTGCATGCACACAAGTTTCTGTCCTGTGTTCTGCTTTTGGGGGAAGCTGGACTACAGGCTTTTTTCTACCTTTTTTTTTTTTTTAAGATTTTATTTATTTGAGATAGAGCGAGAGTGAGAAAGAGAAAGAGCACAAACAGGGAGAGCAGCAGCCAGAGGGAGAAGTAGGCTCTCCAGGGATCCTGAGGTGGGGGATCAATCTCAGGATTCCAGGACCATGGGATCCTGAGGCGGGGATCCTGAGGCGGGGGCTCAATCTCAGGATTACAGGACCATGACCCAAGCTGAAGGCAGACACTTAATCGACTGAGTCACCCAGCATCCTTTTTTTCTACCTTATTGAGGTTGTATGATTTATTCATTTGCTTTCATTCTTTCCTATTTAGCAATTAAAATCTGTAAACCCATAAATTTTCCCTTTGAATACACTATTGGCCACATGCCAGAGGTTTTTTTAAAAATATTTCATGTTTTAATTATGTTAATTACATAATTAACTGTCAGCAACTGTGTTTTGTCTCCGACCACAGACTGTTAGGATAGTTCGTTGCTAATTTCTTCTCTGTTCAAAATTTCTGGCTTTACTGCACAGTGTTTAAATAATCTGATCGATTTACTTCTGCTTTACAGATTTTGAGGTCTTCTTCTGTTGGCTGAAGTGTAAGTACTTACAAAGAAAACTTATTCTATGATAGAAGAACATGTAATTCTATTTGGATCTAATAAATCAACTCTACTAGTTTTATTATGTAGATATTTCTCTGGAATCCATGATTACTTTTACCTAATTAAACTGAGACAGCCAGTAAAGAGCAAACTCTCACAAAACACCAAGCCTGTATGTATCAAGGACAAATCTTTTCACGTCTTTAAGAAATGAGTAATTCTAACACTACTGACACCGTAGGAGAGAACAGCAAAGTAATTTCCTGGTCCTTTTTATGATGCTAGCACAACACTGATACAAAAACCACAAACCAGTCTCATTTATGAATACTGACAGAAAAATCCCCAATATAAAGGAATACATTCCAGTATTTCATTACAGTGACATACCATGACTAAAAGGGATCATCCCACAAATGCGAGTAAAGCTTAATATTAGAATATAGATTAGTATACTTCTCCACATGAATAAACCAAAGAAAGATAAAAACACTCTCCATCCAAACAGATGCCAAAGGCATTTGATAAAATTCAATACTCATGCTTACATTTTAAAATTTATGTCTTAGAGAAACTCTCACTATGTAGAAAACATGTACAAAATTATTTATTGTGAGTATCTGAATACCAAACACTGGAAACAACCCACATATCCATTTAGAATACATAAATAAACTGTCCTCATCTTTAAAAAGGAATATTATCCAGCAGCAAAGATGAATGGCTCACATTACACGCCACAACAGAGATGATTTCAGGAACATAATATTGAGTCATACAAGTCCCAGATGGCTATATACACTATAAGGCCATTTGCATAAAGCTCAAAAATTAAACATATTGTTTACAGACATATTTTATGAGATAAAATTATTTTTATAAATAGGTTACACTATGACTAACACAAAATTCAAGATAGTTGTTACCTCTAGAGGGGTCAGAAGCTGGGAGCTGTGTTGAGAAGCAGTACTGGAAATGTTCTCCTTAGTGGGATGGTGTGTTCATGGGTACACATTTTACTACTATGCTTCCTTTTTTTTTTCTTTTTTTTTTTTAAGATTTTATTTATTTATTTGACAGAGAGAGATACAACAAGAAAGGGAACACAGGCAGGGGGAGTGGGAGAGGAAGAAGCAGGCTTCCCTCGGAGCAGGAAGCCCAATGAGGGGCTCAATCCCAGGATCCTGGGATCGTGACCTGAGCTAAAGGCAGATGCTTAACAACTGAGCCACTCAGGCGCCCTGCTACTACTATGCTTCTTAAATGTCATGCTAGATGAAGTGTTCAGTATGCATGAGTAACATTTAAAAAAACATATTTAGCTCTATAATAAGGAGTGATTTCCAGAATATATTGTTAAATGAAACAAGCAAAGTGCAAAAGACAGTGTGCTACCTCTTGTGTACAAAAAACAGGAGTACAAAAAAAATATGTGTGTATTTGGTCACCTGTACAAAAAAGAAATAGAAGGATAAATAAGAAACTAAGGAGAATCATTGCTTCAGATATGGACAGGAAATGAAAGGATTCTGGGATGGAAAAGAGGATGAAAGGAAATTGGGTAGAAGAGATGAGGGGGGGAGTGGTGCTTCTGAGTTTGCCTTTTTCTTCTGACTTTCATAACCATAGTAACGTTTCACATATCCAAATAAATAAATAAATATACGTATATTAAATAAACCAACCAGGATGGGATGGGGTGACAAATCAAAAAGGAATACAAACATCAAATGAGTCTAATTATACTACAACTGAATAACATAACCACACTGAAGTGGTGGGAAAGAAAAGAACTAAATAACTTCGGAAAGCAGTGTTTTAAGTAGGAACTAGGTACTGTAAGGTTAAAAAACCTCTGCCCAAATGCTTCTTGAGGATGCACGATTTATTATTTCATTCTTTCCTATTTGTCAATGAAACGTAAATTTTCTATAAGAACGTAAATTTTCCTCTGAATATACGACTAGCCACATTACAGAGATTTTCTTTTTTGTATTTCATGTTTTAATTACTATTTTATAATCTTAGTGTAGTATAATTTTAGTATAACTTTCATTACGGTATGAATGAGCCACTCTGGAACTATCTTATGATGTGTGTATTCATGTGTATTCTACAACTGAGCAAATAAGTGATTACAACGTAGAAATCATACCCAAGTCATTGTCATCCCAACAGCCCGAGACAAGGCCAAATTACCTTTTGGAACTGCCAGCTCCAGAAGACGATGATCTCGAAAAGCCGGACTGCTTCTACTCCCCGGTGACCCGGAGGGGCTCTGCTTTTTTTGTGCTCACTGAACCCTGATTCACGACCCAATGTTAGGAGTCAGGGGGCATAGAGTCCATACTTGAAACGCATATAGGTAACAGCCCCTGTACGACTTCAACATGTCAAGACTCGCGATATCATAACCTGCTTCACCCCTGCAAATATTCCACCCCGGGGCTGCTCCGACACATCTTCCCGAAAGGTCAGTGGCATCTTCCCGGAACAGAGTGTTGTGGCAGTAATCCACGCCGCGTCTTCCAATTCGGTCACCAAGTCCAAAGTGGGAATCTAGGACGGACGCAGGAGGACCGCGGACCATCGCCCTACCCACTCCTCCAAGAGTCGGAGGGGCATCCCTACCCAACCCACAGCTACCGGCCAGGGTACCGCCCCCGCCGACCGCAGCCCGACACTCACCTCTGCCGCGGACGTTACCACGGCGCAGTCGGAAGTGCGTCACCAGACCGCGGCCGAGCCTCTCTAGGAGCAGCGCTGCTCCCTCTTGGTGGTGCTCTGCCCCCGCCCCTGCAGCCCGAGTCTCAGTAACAGGGGCTCCTGGGCCCCGCGCCCCTCTCTTGCGGGACCTGGCCGCAGGGCCATTATTCCTCGAGGTGGGCTGGGGAAGCATCAGAGGAGAGAGCTGGATTCACCCCTGGGGGTGGCGCCAGGTATCTGTATTTTAGTAAAGCTGCAGGTGCAACCGGATTTGGGAGTTCTGGGCTGGGCCTGTGCATCTATCACACGCTGTCACACCTAAGGCTGCCTTTTTGTAACAGCTGTTTTCTAGTGACCGCTTTATTCTCCTGTCATGAAGCTCACAGATCACGACTTAGAAGATCATAGGTAATATAAACAACCCACGTTTTAAAAACTGATGAATGGATAAAGAAGTTGTGAGATAGGTAGATAGATGAGTGGAACATTACTCAACCATGAAAAAATGAAACCCTGGCCATTTGAAACAATGTGGTTGGAGCTAGAGAGTATTATGCTACGTGAAATAAGTCGGTCAGAGAAAGGCAAATACCATATGTCTCATATGTGGAATTTAAGAAACAGATGAACATTGGGGATAAAGCAGCAAACCATAAAGCAAACTCTTAAGGGTAGAAAATAAGTTGAGGGTTACTGAAGGGAGGTGTGTGGGGGATGGGCTGGATGGATGATGGGTATAAAGGAGGGCACTTGTGATGAGCACTGGGTGTTGTATATAAGTGATGAATCACTAAATTCTACTTCTGAAACTAGTACTACACAATACACTAACTAGAATTTAAATAAATACTTGAAACTACAAAAAAAACCCATAATACTATGCTTTCATAAAGGAGATATAAAAGGAAAATGATTTGTAAAAATACACATTTCAATATGTAAATGTCTGGTCATGATTCCTATAGACCTAAAGGTCAGATACTTGCATTTTCATGTTGAATGTGCCTGAACGCCAAAGCCACAGTGCTGTCTTTTACTGATGTTTCAAAAAATCGCAAACTGTGATCCAAAATGGTGAATGCTTCTTGGTAAGGTTTAAGTGAAACAGTATAATCTTCTTTTGATTATACAGTAGTTATATTCCCAGAAAATCAACGTATGTTAAAACTGTGTAAAAATTCATTTAGCTGAAAAACAGGTTCTAGATTCTGGTCATTTATAAACAGTTTTTCCCTACATGAACATCCACAAAGACCAAAAAGTCTGTGAAAACTTTTCCAAGTAGGTGGAACCCTTCTTTGCCTTTCAGGATTCGTGGCACTCCGGGTTCCCATCTAACACCACCAAACATTGATACAAAAATACTCCCATAAAATTTCAAAATGAGCCAAGGGGGAAGGGGAACGGCACTAAAAGCCACTGGATTAGACCATCCTTAAGTTTCCTCCCTGGATATTCCTCCTTGATAGTGAGGGCCTTTCTTCTAGCTCTGATCCCTGAGATGCTACAGCACTGGAATGTGGTTGGCAGTCAGTCCGACTTCTCTCTCCCAGCCTTCTAGTTCTCCCATTCCTCCTTCTCTCTCAACTTCAGCCCCACTTGCTGAATACTGTTCTCTAAACCTAGAATACCCTTCCCATACCCTCCACCTTGATTGTTACTTGGAATCTAGGCTCAAATCCCATTTCCCATGGAAAGCGAGGTTTTTTTGACCATCCAGAATAAGGCAGGCCCCAAGTTACATGCCATCGTAGCACTCTGTATTTCTCAGTTTAACTGTCTTTGCTCACTCCAGGAAGCAGGGACTGTATCTATCTTGTTTAGCATCATTATCCTCAGCTAAAGCACAAGGCCTGGCACAAAGGAGGCACATAACAAATACCTCCTGTTGACATTATCCAAAGGCTCCAACCCCAACTCCAGAGTAGGACGCCTCTTTATTTCTGGGCCCCTGGAGATAGGATGTATCTTGTGCCTAGAATCATGACACTGAACACTGTCAGGAGCCCTTCTCTGTTTTGCCTTGTCCCTGATCATCGCTATTTCCTAAAATGAGCATTTTACACAGCTTCTCTTTTTCAGATAGGAAAACGGTCCCAAGATTTGGCAGAGTGATAACTGGGGATTACATTGCTCTTGGAAATAAGGGTTTTTTTTTTTCGTTTAGCGGAACTTCAGCGAGGACTGAGGGCTTGTCTAAAGAAATAGGAAGGAGGGGGCGCCTGGGTGGCTCAGTGGGTTAAGCCGGTGCCTTCGGCTCAGGTCATGATCTCAGGGTCCTGGGATCGAGTCCCGCATCGGGCTCTCTGCTCAGCAGGGAGCCTGCTTCCCTCTCTCTCTCTCTCTCTCTGCCTGCCTCTCTGTCTACTTGTGATCTCTCTCTGTCAAATAAATAAATAAAATCTTAAAAAAAAAAAAAAAGAAAAGAAATAGGAAGGAATTAGGAGATCACAGTGTCATAGAAATGCTGGGCCCAAATGTTGGATCATAAACTAGCCACTAAATTTACAGATAAGAAGGCCTCCTAAAGAACCTGAAGCCCCTGCTCCTGAGAGTACTAGCACAGACACATCCCAAGTTACAAAAGGCCTGCAGAAGCAGAGACCACTGGTCTGTTAATCTCTGTTCTTCCTTTATATATTAACAGAATCTCTAGCAAGCCAAAGACAGTCCAGAAAAAATAACACGTTCTGGCCCTCTTTAAATTTTCTTTTTAAATTTTATTTATTTGAGAGAGAGAAGCAGGAGAGGGAGAAGCGGGCTCCCACTGAGCAAGGAGCCCGACTCAGGGCTCAATCCCAGGACCCTGGGACCATTACCTGAGCCAAAGGCAGACGCTTAATCAACTGAACCATGTAGGCACCCCTAATGTTGTTTTCATGTCTGCTGACACATATGACCCTCTTTAAAGTGTGACTAGGTGACCAACTTCTGGCAAATAGGCTATAAAAATAGGTGATGCTATGCCCTTAAAGAAAAGGAACGTGCCATTCCTGGCCCAATATCCCTTTCAGTTAGATGGAATGCTGACAAGGGGGTAAGCATCTGACAAGGGTGTAAACCATGTGAATGAGGATGTTGTCGCTGGGGACGACAGAGCTGCTAGGAGCTACCACCGGGCTGCTGTACCAGTCCTGGACTACTTACCTTCAGATGATATATGAGTGAGAAATAAGCTTTCATCATGCTTAATTAATCACACAGATTTGGGTTCTTCAAATCAGTACCCAGCACCATAGCCTTATAGAATACCTCTAGGAATGAGGAATGATGGAAACATGATATGCACATACTTAAAATCAAAACACACTTAAAAATTTAGGCTGGTTCTCATATTTTACTGTTCTGTAAGTCCATCTCTATGCTGGCCTGCAGCCAAGAATCCTCCTGCTCAGCTCTAAGCACCCTCTGTCCTTACAGTCCCAGAGCCTCCCCCAAACCCTTCTTCCCTGCCCACCAGGAGAAAATGACAGATCTTCCCCCAGTTAAAGTATCTGTTTCTGGTGTTTCCAGTTTTAAGATAATATAGTAAAGGATGTTCTGCCTACTTATTTTGAAAATTATGGGAAAACAACAAAAGTCTGTTTGGGATTCATTCCAAGAATTCAAGAATATCTCAATATTAAAATTTCCTTTACTTATTGATATCGTGAATTAAATTAACAAATCAATCTATTATGTGGAGAAATAGGGCAGGGAGAGGTCATATTCACAAAAGCAACAAAGCAAACAAAAAATTAAGAATCAATTTAATAATAAATGTTTAAGACATAGATGAAGAAAAACATAAATATTCAAGGGCTAAACCATAACTACCACCAACAACAATAAAAACTTGTATATGGAAAGGTGCAGGTAATTTTTCAAAGAAATGGCATTCATCTTGATTTAATCTATGAGTCCAATTTCAAATAATTTTGGAAAAAAAAGAATAAAGTGGGAGAAATTGCCCTACCCAAGTAAAACCACAACGGGATTTGTTTTGGAACTTGTGAAATGATTCCAAGGTTCACCTAGGGGGAAAATGTTATATATTTATAAGGTACTACTAAAACATAAAAACACAAAAGGATTGAATGTTAAAGAGTGGATATACTAGACAAGTGTTAAGCTAAAGGAATAGTGGCATTAACTATATTAATATAGCAATGATTTTGAGACAAAAAATATCACTAGGTAGGATTCCACTTAAGGCAATATAATGAATGATATAAACTAGTATTTAGAAACTTAGAATAAGATATCATTGATAACATCATTTTTATACTTAGCTCACAGGAAAATATATCCAGGTACCAAAACTGGACCAGAAACTAAACCATAGGTTAGCTGCCCTGGCTGATTTGGCCGACATGACTAGTAACAGTGGAGACTTAAAGATCTTGATATCTGCAGAGGCTGTATTATAATATTCAGGAGGCCACATGAAACAAGGAGTAGGAACTGGGGCTTCTCACACACACCTACACCTACCCAAATGTCTGGACCCATGAAAGGATAACTAGGAAAAAAAAAAAAATTCGCACTAACAAAAAGAGATAACAAAAGAGGTTATAGTCCTTGCCTCAGTTTTGGAGTGATAGTGGGGATGTCACCTAAGAAATTATAATCACAGCCTGTATTACTGAGTTCATAGTTTAAAATTAATACTAACTACTTGAACTAGGAACTCATAACCTAAGAAATCAAGTTAAATATGAATCCTAGCAAACTAATGAAATAGTCACTACAGAATTTGGAGACAATGGCATTTAAAAGTTATTATAACTGCATCCCACAGAATCAACAATTAAGTAGAGACATGGAAAATATAGAAATGACCTAAATCAAACTTCCAGAGATGAAAACTGTAATGTACAATAAAAAATACACTGGACAGAATTAAGAGTAGATGTTGAAAAAAAAAACTTTAAAAAATGTAGTGAACTCGAAGTCACAGCACTAAAAACTATCCAGAAAGAAACACAC